CACTCTCCAGCTCGCACACGGTGTGGGATTAGTACAGTGCTCCTCCCCACAGCAGTGTGCAACTCTTAATTCTGGCATTTTAATTTGATAGCATGGAAGGGACAGGACAGCTCACTTCTAAAAGCTTAGGCACAGCAAACCCTCTGGTTTTTCATAGCAGAAGCCACGTTTCCTCTTAAAATAGGAAGCTTTTGTGTTACAGGAGAATCCTGTCAAAATTAAGGCTTTTCCAGTTGCTCTTAGTTAACTACAGTTTGTCCTGTCCCAAAAGCCATGATGACAAAAGTCTTGCCATGTACCTGCAGGGCAGACTTTAGAGAAGCACTCTGCTGAGGGGACTATTGTTTTACTACTGCCAGTTACACCAGAGGAAGTTAAAATAAAGTAGTGTTTACCACAGGTAGGAACGTGCACCCCTTCCAGACAACCTGTTCCAGTCTAGCATTTGCTTCTTTCTTTGATACCAGTCTATACATCTCCCTCCCTAACCCTTCCCCAGCTCCATGATTGATTAGGACATCATGGATTGCTGCACAGCCTTCTGCAGGGATTGCCTGGTCACCAGCAGCCGTACCACCTCCTCGTTCCTTTTTGTCAGCCTCTTCCTAGCCTGGTCATGGGTCACCATTGTCATATCCCAGCCATTCACCTGGGGGAAAAAAACATAAAATGAGGCAGGTGCAGGGACTCACAGGTGTCCTGTTAGTGTTCTATCAGAACCATGCAGTGGATGTGCCACAGCTCAGTTTATAAACAAACCCCACAAGCTGTCCTGGGAAGTACCCAGATGACTGTTTTCCCCCAGCAGAGGCTTGTCTGCAGTGTGCACATGGAGCTGTGTTAGTACTGTGTTATCTTGGTGTTTACCTGCATGATCTTGTCTCCAATCTGGAGTCCTGCAACTTCTGCTGGGCCTCCCTCTGTCACCCTCGTTACATAGATACCCTGGGAAAAAATGAAGGGTTCATTCCCTAAAGATGGGAGCATTAAATACTCAAGGGCCATTCTACTACAATGCAAAAATACTTTGTAGTGTACTGTGGAATTCGAGTTTAAAAAAAAGGCTTGTGCAATGTTGGACAACAGAAAAGGTGGAGAGGTCATTTAAACAACCTCACTTTGCAAGTGATAATGAGGAATCAGTAACTTCAGTAGTAGTGGTGTGAGAGGACAAAGATGCTGAGTTGGATCCCTCAGCCTTTTGGAGAAGGAGTTGCTACAGGAAAAGAGCATCTGACCTTGTCAGTCTTGTCTTCAGAGAAAGGATTCTGGGTAGGGTCCTGATCAATGCCACCCCCGATGCTGAATCCCAGAATCAAATTGTCACCTTGACGAAGCTTATGGATTTCAATTCTTTGCTGAAAAGAGGAGAGAAAATAGCTCAGTATTGTGATGACTGGAAGGAATCTTGGGTGTTTCAGACACAAATATTTAAGATCCAGTCAGATTGTCTTTCACAGAGATCCCACACACCCACCAGAGGAGGCTGCCCAGAGGTTGGTACCCTTGTGTACTGTAAGCAGACAGCTCTGAACCCCCTGGCAGCACAGAACTGTCCTCTGGCATTTGCTGTCAGCCACACAGCCCTGGTGTTGACAGCAGCTGGCTCTGAACTGTTCTGTCACAGAGGAGCAGGACAGGAAGCCATTCCATGCTCAGCCCAAGGGTTCTCATGCCATGACACAGCCAAGCACCTTAATTACTCAGAGCTTTATCCTCTGCCCAGGGATAGAAGGGAACAACACTAAAACCAGACCAGGTCTCTTTAAACATGACTCATGCCTTGATAACCAGCAGTCACTCATGACCAGACTCATCTCACTTCTTATCCACGTGCCCTGTGTTCCTGCTAGTCCTATCAGCAGAAATGACAACCTATTATTAGGATGGATCTTTTTCAGGATAACTTATGCACACTTTTGTAATCCAGGGGCAGGTTCCTCGCTGCCAGATGCACAGAGGCCTCTGACAAGCTTTATGCATTATGTCAGCATTGTACAAATGCCAGCAATTCCTGAGCCACGATGAAAAGCCACAGTCTTAACTGGCACAATAACCTCTCAAAAGGTGGTGTAGCCTATCTAGTGGAAGATGTTCCTGCTTATTCCAGGGGCTCAATGAGGTGACCTTTAAAGGTCCCTTCCAACCCAAACCATTCTGTGAGAATTCCTCACAGGTGCTGGACTCAGACCCTCCCTGGGATCCAGACTGACTGGGATCAGTGGATCCAGAGTGGGATCCACAGCAGGACAGAGTCCATGTTCTCAAGGCTGTCAGCTCTCAGACACTGGGGGCTGTGCAGCCCGTTCCAGCCGAGGTACCAGTCACACTCCCAGAGCACAACCACCTTTAGTATTCCAACCACCGGAAGGCACAGAGTCCTTCACTTGCACTGTGTGCAATTGCCTCACTTTAACAGCTCTGCTTCCTAAACCCCACCCAGACAAGCAGGTGCTTTATCCTGCCCCTGCCCTGGCAGAGCGGGCACCGCACC